AGCTGTAGCCGTTCGAACTCCCGAAGAAGAACATCCTGCCCGGTAAACAAGCAAGATAGTTGGCCATAACTCCTCCGGCTAAGGGCATCAGCTACCACGTTAGCTTTCCCAGGGTGGTAGCTAATCGTGCAGTCATAGTCCTTGACCAGCTCCAACCACCTACGCTGCCTCATGTTCAGCTCCTTCTGAGTGAAAATGTACTTCAGGCTCTTGTGGTCAGTAAAGATCTCACATTTGCCTCCATAGAGGTAGTGCCGCCAAACCTTCAAGGCGTGGACAACTGCAGCTAACTCCAGATCATGAGTGGGGTAGTTCTGCTCGTGAGGCTTCAGCTGCCTCGAAGCATAGGCTACAACTCTCCCTTTCTGCATAAGAACACAACCCAAGCCCATCTTCGAAGCATCACTATAGATCGTGAACTCCAAAGTAGGGTCGGGTATGGATAGGACGGGCGTGGTAGTGAGTCTTCTCTTCAACTCCTGGAAACTTTCTTCGCACTTCTGACTCCAATCAAACCTCACGGCCTTCTTCGTAAGGTTGGTTAGTGGCTGGGCTCTCTTCGAAAATCCCTCGATAAACCTCCGGTAGTATCCTGCTAACCCCAGGAAACTACGAACATCAGCGGCACTTCTTGGCGTATCCCACTTGCTCACCGCCTCGATCTTGCTGGGATCCACCTCAATGCCTCTCGCCGTCACAATGTGGCTAAGGAACGCCAACGGTCTAACCAGAACTCGCATTTCGAGAACTTAGCATACAGCTTCTCGCGGCGAAGAGTCTCCAGCACAATCTTCAGATACTGCTTGTACTGGTCGATGCTCCGAGAATAAACCAAGATGTCGTCGATGAACACGATGACAAACTGGTCCAGGAAGGGATGAAAGACCCTATTCATAAGGTCCATAAACACGGTCGGGACATTGCTGAGTCCGAACGGCATGACTACGAACTCATAGTGGCCATAATGGGTACGAAAGGCAGTCTTAGAAATATCCGACTCCCGGATCTTCAACTGATGATAGCCAGACCGCAAATCGATCTTCGAGAAGACACTGGCTCCTCTCAACTGGTCGAAGAGATCCTCAATACGGGGAAGAGGGTATTTGTTCTTGACTGTAAGGGTATTCAGCTCCCGGCAGTCAATACACATACGCATCGATCCGTCTTTCTTCTTCACGAATAGGACGGGCGCTCCCCACGGCGAAACACTCGGTCGAATAAAACCGAGTCTGAGCAATTCCTGGATCTGGGCCTTAAGCTTTTGAAGCTCCTTCGGCGCCATACGGTAAGGGGCCTTAGACACGGGGCCGGCTCCTGGTACTAAGTCAATGGTGAACTCCACCTGGCGGTCGGGTGGTCCTCCGGGCAGCTCATCGGGAAAAACATCAAGGAATTCGCAAACAATAG